AAGCAGTATTTCAAACAATTACATGAAATACTTAAAAACTAAAGTGCTTTATAAACTGTTTTTAAATACTGTTCACAAAATTAGTGACATAAAACAAAAGCCATCTAAATGTGGCACTTGTCAAAAGCAAGTTATGGAGATTAAAATGAAATCTACGAATAAATTGTCTGATCTACTTGCCTCTATTTGAAATAAAAGCAGACAAATTACACCACAAAGATCAAAACTAAGTGGTTATTTCTTGAAAACAAAGAGGCAAAACATGACAACAGAATCTAATTACATGCTTATAAAGTAAATACTTTTAAAAGTATGGTTTTTCTTCCCATTGAATTTCATTATTTACTCCATTAAAATGATTAACATCTTCCCTCCTACAGTTCTTCTGTGTTAAAATAGCAGTAAAACTTGGTTTAAGTTTTAATTCAGAAAACAGTTGTTAAAAAAAAAAGTGCTTTTAAGAGGAGCTACAAGAAGCTGTCAGATTATTAACTATCAACATCACCTGGCTATCACACCCTCCCACTTTTAAGTTGGTAAAGACAATAAAATATTCACTCTCCATATTCTCACAAAAGTCTTTTATGGGTAGATCCTTAATGAAAAATTAAACTTTTCATAAACAAATGTGCACAGAGTACTCATTTTGATATGTATGACTCACAATATAATTTTTATTGGCAGTACCTTGAAGTGTTGCAGCTTGCACTATTCCTACAGGGGATACAGATCTGTTTTTCCCATCTAGATCTTTGAACAGATTCCTTATAGATTTAAAAGGATTCACTAAAAGGGCCATGTGGAAAATAATTATAAACACAATCCACAGCAAAATTAAATGAGGACTGTGAACTAGGATAACAAAAAAGTCACTTATTTATCAAAAGCCTCTCAATTGAAAGTACTGTATTTCCACTTAGATTTTTTCTAATCTAGGTTTTTCTTTTTTCTTTTTTTTTTTTAGTTATAGATGGACACAATACCTTTGTTTATGTGGTGCTGGGGAATCGAACCCAGTGCCTCACACATGCTAGGCAAGTGCTCTACCACTGTGGTAAGAGCCACAAACCACGCCCTGTTTTTCTTAATTCTTACTTTGAATTTTTTCTACCTTTTTAGGGTGTTATGTTATTTACCTCCAAAAATCACAAACAAAAAACCCTGCAAATATATTTCCAAAAGGAGTATCTTCCAAACTTGACTACACAAAAAATTATATGTGCACATTCTTAAATAACTATAGTTGGCTCCTGAGATTTACCTCCCCCACTCCCAAAAAAAGAACGGTAAATTTAACCACAATGAAGCATTAGCAAAATTTTTAACACAGCTATCACCAGTTAAGTAATTCATCACAGCTCCTCAAGGTCTCAGTCACACACAATGACATACAAACATGTCAAAACAGTTATTATAATTTTAAAAATTATAAAACAAGAACATAAAAGTTGAAAACTCCTCTGGAAAAACTCAAGATGATTTTGGAGACAGCAAAAAAAGGACACCAATTTTAGATAAATAACATTTCCCCAAGTGTTTAGTGTTCATCTGATATGGACTCATTTTTGTAAAGAGAAAACTTTACCTAACAAGACTCACACCAGGGATCTCATCTATCCTCAAAGGCACTTTCTTAAAATGAGAAAGAACAAAGAAGTAAATCTCCCAGCATGTGCCTTCCATACTAGTTTCTTCGGACATCATCAAGAGTCACAATATAGCCCCCACAAGCTTTTCAGTTTTACTCTATGGTCCATGTATAATAGAACTGATAAGCTATTTCAAAAGGACTGCAAACAAAATAAATATTAGAAGGCAAGGATTACAGCAACATAGTGACTATTTTGGGAAACTATAGAAAACGCATATCTTAAAGTTGTGTACTTTTTCATTTCAAGGGTTAATTATCTCCAAGTAGTCAAATTCCTGAGGCTTTATCCTTTCAAGTCAAACTGAAAGGAAAAAGAAATCATCCATTCCAGTTCTTCTCTGCCTTAAATGTGTAATTAGAAGTAAATTTTAAAAGAATGGCACTCAAAGCCAATATACAAATATACAAATCTCGCAATGTTAATGCTCCCAAGTTATTAGGGAAAACGATCTTTCAAATGAGGCTTTTCCACAGAAAAACTCTCCAGAAACAACCAGGTGTTTGGTGTTTTACAAGTTGTTTCATCCACAATGGAGAAAAAAATAAGTAATTTTTATTAACTATAAAAAGAATTTACAAATATCCCCAAGGATTTACAATTGTATATCCCAATCTCCACTCTGACCGAGATGTCAATTCTCTGGGCTGTGATATAACCAGCTGCTCGGTTCACACACAGGAAGCCACAGAGAAGGGAATATCGCGTTCAGAGCCTCGAAATAATACGCGTTAGTTAAGAACTGCTTGCTACTAAACCAAAATTATTCAAGCGGAGCCCCATTTGTCACAATCCAATCATAAGGGTTCCACCCCCTCCCCCAACTGCTTGTGTAGTGGTATATCTGCTTCGGTAAAGAAGCCATCATCAGGTAAAGATTGGGGTGGGAGAAAAAGCGGGGGAAAGGGGGCACCCTTTCATCTAATTTCGCGAGGCGTGAGTAATTGGTACAGTTGAGAGGAACGGAGGCACGTTCTATTTATTGGGGGTTGAAGTAGGATGAGGGGGGGAGAATTTCGTTCAAATCAACATGGCCAGCAAGATGTCCCTACAAACAAAAGGCAACGGGGGGATATAAACACGAACCATTCACCTCCATCAGCTATAGCATCGCCATCATGGTGTGTGCAGAGACCCCCAGACTCCTCTCACCCTCCACGCCAGTCAAAGCAAGAGAAGGGAGAGAGGAGCTGCATCCCACCACCCACTACTCCTTCCAAATACACACTCATCGAGGGGGTTTCTCCCCACTCCCCGGTGGTCCGGAATCAAAGAGAAAGAGTAACGTCCCACCCAGGCAGACTCCCCCGCCACCCCTCAGCCGAACCCCAACGCCGGCCCGAGGTTCGCCAAACTTTACCGGAGCTTCTCCCCCACCTCCCCACCCCGTGGCCCCAGGACCGCGCTTCCCACTAGCGGGGCAACCCTGCGCCTCCTGACAGGCGGGCAGCCGGGAGAGGCAAGTCCGGGGCGGGGGCGCCAGGGAATCCACGGAGGGGCGGGGCGGCCGGAGCCAAGTTCCCGGGGGTCTAAGAAGAGCTCCTGACAGGAGCCCGGGACTGCAAAGGAGGAAGAGGAAGCGGCGGCGGGGAGCTTTCCCAATCCCCCCCAACGAGAACACCCTGCCCCCAGCCCCCCATGGGGGGCGGGGAGGCGGGCTGCAAGGTGAGGAGCCCCAGCCGCGGAGACAGTCGCAGCCCCTACCTCCCGACCCGCTCTCTCTTCCCCCGCCACCCCCGCCAGAGGCGCCCACAACAATAACACGCCGGGGACGACCCGTCAGCGCCCCCGAGGCACCCGGGGCCCGCGGCCCGCGGCAGCCAGGCCCCCTCTGCTGGGGCCGGGCGAGCCTCTCCTCCCTACAACTCCAGACCCTGGTGGAGCCAGGCCCGAGCGGCCCCCCAGGGTCGGACCCATCCCCCCCAGCACCAGCGGCGCCGTCTCCGCGGCCGAATATTAGAAGTGAATTCGAGCTGCGCTTTACCTTTAGTTCCGCACTGTCCGCCATCTTGCGTCTGTCAGCGCAAGCGCAGTGAGCCTCGCCGGGGGCCGCCGCTAGACCCTCCTCTCTGGCCGGCGCCGGGCGCTCGGAGCCCCGCCCCAGGCACGTACCGCAGCGAGACAAGCACGTACCATTTAAATAATGGCGCCAAGCGGCTAGGTTTGACAGTTACTCTCCCCTCGGCCTCCCCGCCCCCATTCTCGCTCTGCAGAGGCCTCCAGGGAAGGGACCGAGCTAGAGGGACGCTGGCCTGAGCCCCGCCCCTCGGGATCGGCGGAACCCTTTGGCCAAGCTTCGATGCCTACTGTCGTAGAAACAATAATGACCCCTCCCCCAACCAGCAAGGCATTTTCAGCACCTGCTACCTGCGAGGTTATGCGTGGGCCAAAAGTAACAATCCGTTAAGTTTAAGGAGCACTTGAAGCATTTCTGGACTTGTTGGCTCAGATCCTCCTCGTAACGCGGTGAGATAAGCAAAGAAGAGATTGTTCTTCCATGGTAAATATTCCGAAATGAAAACTCAGGAAAAGTGACTTGCCCAAACAAGTACTGCTTAACAGGGGTGGCCTAAGACAAAATTCCGAAGATGTCCATTCATTAACTCTTTGTTTTCAACAAGTATTTATTTAGCGACTATCTACTGGTCCTCTGCAGTGGGAAATTAGACAAGATCCCTGCCCTCCTATCATTCTCTAATGCGGGAACAGACAAGTTAACTAATAAAGATACAATAGCAAAGGGTGATGAATGGCAGAAAGGAGCAAAAAGTCCAGTAAGAGGAAGAAAAAAGGTGTAAGAGGAGGTGTGCTTAATCCTCTGCTATACTGCTATTCCAAAGACAATGAAAGATTTCATACCTTTTCCTTTCTACTAAAAGCGTCCTATACTTCCTATCCAACCCCTATTTTCTATTGGTCAACTTTGCCTCATATCTCATGGGAAAAAATGAAAGATAAGAGACATGAATTCCCTTATCTTCTCATGGTCAAAACTACTCTTATCTGTATAGTATCATTTGTATTACTATAGAATGTCCCTGCATCAAGAAGACCAGGCCTTCCACCAGTGACCTGGATTCCTTTCACTCCCACATTCCTAAAGATTTTACACCTACAATTACTTTGCCCTTCAGTATCATTAGTTTTTTCTTTTTTTT